GCGGCCACTGCACTCCAGTCTGGGCGACAGAGTGAGACTCCAACTCAAAAAAAAACCTGTGAGCAATTCTTTTCTCTAAAGTTTTACAATACCAAAGCAATCTATTTCCCTTGGCCTTTCGTACTACACGAAGACATTTGCACTAGGATTTATCTGTGTATAGACAAACTGACATTTATGCATCTTTCTACACTTTTCTTTGATCTGGCATCTGTGGTTGACCCTTTTTGTCCTTTCATAGGGTTGTTCTCATCATTACTGGTGTTTTATTTTTCTTTTTAAAAAAATATCCACCTACATCAAGAGGAAGTATGTTGCATGTGCTTCTGCATAGTATGTGAATATACTTCTTTACTGTGCTTGATTAGTAATAAGCATAATTCAAACTTCCAAATTACCTAAAAAGGGGCTTAAATCCAGCTCCACTCATTCATATCCAACCATTCAAAAAAATACTTATGGAGCATACTCTAGGTGCTAGGGATACCTCAGTATAGAAGTCCCTGCCTTCATGGAGATCACATTTCATAAAAAAGAGAACCAAGCTAGCACTGGAACCGTTTTCAGAAAAATCTAAAAATGTCAAATATCAACATCTGTAGATCGCATTCAGTTCTTCAACAAAAGCAATTATATTATGCTGAAAAAATATGAAGTCTGTTTTTATAATATTAGAATTGATGATTTGGACTTTTTTGTATCACTCTGTAAACTTTTAACAAATGAGATAAATTTACACTAAATGTTGCTTATATTGGAGTGAAATGTAAGCTGAATTTAAATTTTAAGTATACTGAGAGGTCAGAAATAGCAGTATAAGTGGGATCAAAATAAAATATGCATACACTGCAGAGTAAATTCTAAAACAGTTGCTATTAAGTCAATAAATATTTATTAACTACCTGCCCAAATGCAAAAACACTGTGCAGACATAAAAACCAAAAGTTGTCTGCATGGTATTCAGCTGGCATGTCACTATCCAGCTGAAGTGATAATGGAAATGATCTATTTCTATGTTGCCATTACTCTCCTATGGCTAATGAGAACCTCAAATATGGCCAGTATGACCAAGTAACTGAATATGTAATTTTATATAATTTCAAACTATTTAAATAGGCATACGTGGCTAGTGGCAAACATAATGGACCGCACAGATCTAAAGACAGAGACCAAAACATGAGCCAGAAGATAAGCTGCCCAAGGGCAGAGGCTGTCCCTACAAGTACCTCATTCACAGCAGAGATTCAAAAATGGTATTTTCAGCCAGGCATGGTAGCCCATGCCTGTAATCCCAGCACTTTGGGAGGTTGAGGCCGGAGGCCTGGGCAAAATAGTGAGATCTAATCTCTACAAAAAGTAAAAAAATAAATTAGCCAGGCATGGTGGCACGTGCCTGTAGTCCTAGCTACTTAGGAGGCTAAGGTGGACGAATCACCTGAGCCCAGGAGGTCAAGGCTGCAGTGAGCAGTGATCATGCCACTGCACTCCAGCTTGGAGTGAGACCCTGACTCAAAAAATCCAAAACAAAACGTTATTTTAACCTAAGGGAACACTACAAGGTAAAAAAAAAAAAAAAAACAAGGGTAAACTATCAGTGAACAGTCAGGAAAAGAAATGCTACAAATTAGCTTTAATATTTCTGAGGGGAATGTTTCTGGCATAAAGACAAATATTAAGGCAATGTATATCCTAATTACATTGGTTGGATCTTCACAAATTATATGAATGTATTAAATTATCACATATACCCCCAAAATATGTACATCATGTATCAAAAAAATAATGACAATTAAAAATACTTCTGTGGGGTAGTGAGGCTGGGTGGAGTGTACAGGTGAAGTAAGACTGGCCATGTATCGATAACTGCTGAAGCTGGGTCAAAGTTACAAGGGGGCCCATTATACCAGTCTCTGTACTTTTACACATATTTGAAATTTTAGTAGAGTAACTGTAACAGTCTAAAATGTTACTTTAAGTGTTAAAATAAGTGCTTCAATCAATTAACTTACCTACATAAAGCCACCGAAAAAATGCTTTGAAGTTTTTCATACTACTATCTATAACTCTAAAATGATAAAAATAAGGAAAATCAGAAATATGATTATTTTATGGGGTTCATGTATTATTGTTCAACTGTCATGGAATATAATAATCCCAATTGTTCAATTGTATCCTATCTGCATCTTTAGAACAGCAGATTTTACAAATCAAGCATATATCTAAAAATAAAGTTTCAAAAAAGCAAATCCTGATTCTTTTTAAAAACAAAGCAAATAACTCAGATTCTAACGGGTTACACCTTGCCACAAACTGTGTAAGTCTTTTCTAACATTCAGCAAAGTATGAAATCTTTTTCTAACTTTGCAAATAAATCAGGAAAAAAGAGTTTTCAGCATTATTCTCAGTTTAAAAGAAAATACTCATAGGCCAGTAAAAAGAAAACATCAACTCCAACAGAAAATCATTATTATAAATGAGTGCTATGTCACTACCTCTGATATCACTCAACATTATTTTTGAAAGCTGATGTTTGACTGATAATAACTGAGATCTCAAATTGAATTTCCCTGAGCTTTAAACAAATGCACTTCTCAAAATTAAGTGTTGTAAATGGAAGTAATCTTTACTTCAATAAAACTTTCTGAATGTATTGTATTATTTTTTTTAAATCTCTTTAAGCCCCCATCTATAATTACCCTTAGCAAATAATACCCACACTTTTTATTTCTAAATCTCAAAGCCATTTCCAAGCACTATTTCATAATACTACTGGAGAGTTAGGTATTATTAACCTTCCGTAAAAAAGGAAAACATTTGAAATAAATAAAACACTGCAATATCTCTTATGTTACCAACTAATATAATCAAAACTCTCTTGCAGCAACGCTAAAAAAAGGAGAAAAAAGTTCTTTTGTGACTTTCCCAATAATACCCTCACCCTACCCCAGGCAACCAGGCTAACATCAAAATTCTCACTGCCTCAGTTTCTCCATCTGTAGCCTATAAGAATTTAACGTACCTGAAAGGAACAAGAAGTTAAACTTTTCATTCATATTGAAAAGTGATCACAGAAAACTTAATATTTTATATTTGCTCTCACCAGATATGGTGACTCAAAAATACTTCAACATACAGAGAAAAAGCAAATTCATTTCTCCTCCTCAAAGGATTTTGTCCTTTGAGCACAAGCATCTATAGCCTCTACCTTCCAAAATCCCATTGAAATGACAGTGGATGGAGAGGGGTGTGTCAGAAACTCATAAAAACAAAGAGAAAGATCAAAAAAGAAATTAAATCTCAGAAGTGTCCAAAGCTGACGGAGGACTGGTGACTGGTGACGCTCAATAGTGGGGACCTCGTGCCAGGCAGCACAGAGAGGGCAGCCGGGAGGGGGCCACCCACCTGGAGAACCCAGGGTCACTCAGATTTAGCAATGTCAGGGTGATGTAGGGGGCTAGACACAGGCAGACACACTGAAAATATAAAACAGAGTGGTCAATATGTTCTTTCCCCAAAACATGAAGAGTGCCTAGGGGTTTACCTTCCAGTCAAAAACAAACAGAGGCTGGGTGCAGTGGCTCAAACCTGTAATTGCTACACTTTAAGAGGCTAAGGTGGAAGAACTGCTTGAGCCCTGGAGTTTGAGACCAGCCAAGGCAATATAGCGAGGACCTTGTCTCTACAAAACATTAAAAAAAAATTAACTGGGTGTGCTGGTACATGCCTGTAGTCCCAGCTACTTGGGAAGCTGAGGTGGAAGGATTGCCTACGCCCAGGAGATCGAGGCTGCAGTGAGCTGTGATTGTGCCACTGCACTCAGCCTGGGCAACAGAGTGAGACCCTGACTCAAAACAAAAAAATACACAAACAAACAAACAAAACAGAGGCTGGGCACAGTGGTTCATGCCTATAATCCCAGCACCTTGGGAGTGAGGCGGGAGAACTGGTTGAGCCCAGGAGGACAATATAGTGAGACTTTGTTTCTACAAACAATTTTTAAAAAGCTGGTGTGCCCCTGTAGTCCCAGCTAATCAGGAGGCTAAGGCAGGAGGATTGCCTGAGTCCATGATGGCACCACTATACTCTAGCCTGGATGAGAGGGTGAGACACAAACTCAAAAATAAATTTTTTTAAAGAGTTCATCAAAGAAACTGAATAAACTGGGAAGAAGCAACGCACTTCTGTGTGGACCCCAGGAGCCCAAAGCAAAGTTCCACACACTGGCACTCAGATGCTGGTCCCCTGCTGTCCCTGCACACAGAGACTCCAAGCAACTTTCAATTGCTATATGAATAAATGTGAGTAAACAACCATGTGTTAGGCATTTGAAGAAGGCTTGCAATGAGAGACCAAGATAAAAAAGTTAGGTGACCCATCTAATGGAGATAATCCAGGGAACAACAGAAGATTTTTAAAAAATCTACTTTCCTCAGAGTTCAGAAGATGTCATATCCACAAAACAAGAACACAGCTTTGAATAAGGATCTAAAAAGCAAGAAAACACTTTAGAAAGTTAAAATTCAGGACTGCTACAGTAAGAAATTCAGCAGGATGGTTTAGTTCAATGATCTCATCCTCCAACCCTACCTTAACTGCTTACACCAGAATTCACAGCCCAGACCCTGTCATTGCTGACTGAAAACCTGAATCTCAATTTCAAGCATCCCATGTACCAACCACACCCTATCTGTCCAGCATCCTCTCGCTAGGACCCCCACCTTCAACCCACCAGTACCCATCATCTGTCGGTTCTACCACCTGTCACCTTCTCAGCCCCTGAATGTCCTCACTTCCCTCCTAACCTAGTCCAGATTCGAGGGTCCGTCATTTTAGTCTCGTCCTTGCTTCCCATCCATCGCCTGCTGACTTCGCTTCACTCACCAAGCCTGGTAAGCCCGACTGCTGCCCGGCTCTAGGCCCCCTGCTCCTGCAGTGGGCCTGCAGCCACACCGGCTACCCTCACTTTCCCGTTCTCAGGAACACAAGTCCTCTGTTCTATGACTCCAGCCACTGTCTCCTGGCCCACACAACTGCTCCACAGCTTTTCCTGTATTCTTAAACCTCCCACACCACGCCACCTTCCAGTGCTTACTCTGAGCTGGTGATAGAGGATTTCCTTTAAGACAACATGAGCACCAGAAGGTAATGCCTCCAAGATCCCGCCTGCTCACCCCCTCGCCCCTGGGACTCTTTCCTCGCCTTCTCTCCTGCAACTGGGAGAGCGTGCACCTCTGCTTTCCAACCCCTTCCCTTCTGCACTGGGTCCCGTCCCTCTCCTATGCTCTTACTCTAGTCATCCTCCCCTCTCTCATCATCAGTCTTTTCCTTCTAGAAGATCATTCCCGTATATAAACTTGCCCAGTTTCTCCCAGCATGAAAAGAAAAAAAAAAGAAAACCCTAACAACCGTGTTTCCAACTACTGCCCATCCCTGTACAGTGAGACTCCCTGGGGGCTGCACTTGCTGCCTTCTGCGCACTGTTCTTATTCTGCATCGTTCCAGCTCCCATCACTCCCAGCGGCTCTCGTCATTCTGGGACTATCCTATTCTTGGTGCTCCCCTTATTTGACTCGGCAGCATCTGACAACTGACGCCCATTTCTTCTTGAGACGCTGTCTCTGCTCAGTCTGAGGACACCCAAGTCCCTGGCTGTTCTTCCCATTTCCTTGCTGGCTCTCCATTGCCTCCATTATTAAATCAGGTTGCTCCCCTTCTCCCAGCACACCCGTTACCTCATCCAGTCTCACAGCTTCAAATAACAACAATGTGCTGATGGCTCCCAAGGGACACTTCCAGCACACCTCCCCCACTCCCGCCTTAAATACGAGTCTCCTACAATCAACAATGTGCCCGACAGCTCCGCTGTGGATTTAACAGACATTTCAAATTCAATATGCCTTACACACTGACCAGGGGACTAAGATTGACATCACTAAGGAGGGATGGATGGACACTATGTGCTACTGGATGTGATGCCTTGAGAAAGACACAGCGGTTATACAGTAATTCTAGCCAGGAATGCGTAACCTCAATGTAATCATGAAAAAACAGATAAATAAAAAAAAACAAGAAACATGAAATAAATATATATACACACATATATATAACCGGCTTTCTTTAAAAATGTGAATTATCATAAAAGACCAAGAACATCTGACAGTGTGCTCAAAATTCAAGAGACAAAGTAATTAGAACAAATACAGTATCCTGAACTATATCTTATCATACTGGACATTACTGGGATAATTGTAAAATCTGAATGAGCTATGATCTGAATGTTGCATTAATGCTAAAATTCCTAAATGTGGTACCATGGTTACAGAAAATAGCCTTATTCTTAGAAAATACACCCTAGAGTACTACAGGGTACATACATACTCTCAAATGCTTCAGAAAAAATAAACATAATAAAATAAATGTAGCAAAATCTTTAAAAATGGAGAATCAGGGAAAAGAGTATTATCAGAATTACCTTTATTATTCCTGTCATCCTTCTGTGTGAAATTACTTAAAAATAACAAGTTTGAAGAACAATCCAGTCTACCCAAACCAAACTCCTGATCTTATTCTACTCCTTCCCCAAACCTGACCCCAACTCTTCCCCATTTCAGTAAATGTCTACACTACTCGGCTGAGGGCTAAGGCCTGCAACTCCCACGGCTCTTCATTTCACCACCTACATAAAGCCATTCATATAGTTAGCAAGATTCACCTTCCAGTGCTTACTCTGAGCTGATGATAGAGGATTTCCTTTAAGACAACAAGAGCACCAGAAGAAAATCTTGCTAACTATACTTTCAAAATATATTTTGATACTGCCCACTCTTGGCTTCTGGCCTAGTCTGCCTATAATCTATTCCAGCACTAAGTAGCAATAAAGATCTTTTTAAAAGCTAAATCATATCCTTTCACTCTACTGCTCCTAACTCCCAAAGGGCCTCTCATGACATCCAGAGTAAAAGCCAAAGTCTTTACAACTGTCTACTGGCTCTGCAACCTGGTTGTCTTCTGTGATCTGTCAATTCTCCCCTCCTCTCATTTTCATTCAATGCACTTCATCTACACGCCAGGCAGGCTCCATACTCAGGGCTTTCACACTAGCTGTTCCTTCTTTCCCCAAATATCACTCCTGTTCTCATTCAACTTCCTTGCTTGGTTTTTCTCACCACTACTTATCACTATATGACCTACTATATATTTTGATTATCCATTTGTTTATTGTCTGTCTCATTACATTACAATGTAAGATCCACAAAGGCAGAGATTTGTATCCCTTTTTTCGCTGCTGTATCCTCAGCATCTGGAATCTGTTTAAAACACCGTTAAGTGCTCCATAAATGTCTTCTGATGAGTGATAGCATTGGACAATAAAGTGGAAAAAAAATTCTCAGAAAACAAAAGAGACAAAGATATAAAATACAGAAGAACAAATAAGACACACAGAGGATCAATCCATGAATGCTAACATCTGACCAAATAGATTTCTAGAAAAATCTATTTTAAATTATTAAAATAATAGCACAAGAGAATTCAGGTTAAAATGGTTTTTTTTCTTATTATCAGCACAATCAATGAAAAGACCCACATCTAAAAATGCCGTTATGAAATTTCAGCATATTAAGGATAAAGACTACAGCATTTTTGTAGGGGGGAAACCTACAAAAGAATGAGAATCCGAAGCACCAGACTTTCTATCATCAACAGAAAGTCCAGAAATACAATGATCAATGCTTTTAAAGTTCTATGAGAAAATGACTTCCCTCTCAGAATCTTAAGACCAGCCTAAATCACCAATTAAGTATGAGGGCTTGCCTTCCATATCTGCTTTCTGCTAGAGAATGTTTTTCAGCAAAATGATAAATAAGCCAAGAAACAGAGGCAATCCTGAAGAATGGAGGAGATGCCTGTGTGACAGCCACACAGGAGAGCTGGAGCCCAACTGCAAAGCGTCGAAGAGAAAGGGCACCGGGGAAGGGAGCTCTGGGGTTACGCAATTCCCTTCAGAAGGGCAAAGACACAAGGTTTGGAAAAGATAGATGATGCAAGGAAACAAGAAAGCCAAACACAACACAAGCAGACAAGAAGACTCTCTAAAAATTGAAAAGTAAAAGAAATGTAGTATGGTCAAATAATTAGAAGTGTAGAGGTAACCCACAAAAGAACTAAAAACAGAAATCGTCACAAGAGTTTAAACGACACCTTCTGGAGGGAAGACCTGGAGTGAGGACAGGTGGGGAAAAAAGTACAGCTTTACTTCATAAAATATTCTGCTTGTTTTAATCATGTGAACGCACAGTTTTGGTAAAATTTTCTTTTTTTTGAGTCAGAGTCTCACTCTGTCACCCAGGCTGGAGTGCAGTGGCACACTCACAGCCACCGAGCCTCAACCTGCTGGGCTCAGGCAATCCTTCCGCCTCAGCCTTCCAAGTAGCTGGAACTACAGGCATGTGCCACCATGTCAGGTTACTTTTTTTAATTTATTTATTGTAGAGACGAGATCTCACCAAGTTGCCCAGGCTGGTCTTGAAACCCCTGGACACAGGCAATCCTCTCACCTCAGCCTCCCAAAGTGCTGGGATTACAGGCTTGAGTCATCACGCCCAGCCTTCATAAAATTTTAGAAACTTGTTTTAAGAGAATTATGAGAACTTATTTGGTTCTTATTTAAGTAAAAAGTGAATATTCTTGAGTCATTGATTCCAAGTGCTCCCAATACTTACTGAAGAAGTTCATTTGCCTTGAGGATAAAAGAACCCACGGCAGTAATAGCCTCTAAAGAAAAAATAAATAAATATCATTTGTCAAATAAATAAACAGTGTTGACTATATTATACTGAGAAATGAAATCACTACCTTCAATTCCTGCAGCATCTAGTCCAAGAGGTTCATACTTTTGCTTCCAGGAAGCCATTCCTTTCAATTCACTCAGATGGTATAATAAAGACTCAGAGCCGCTATCAAAACAGAGCAGAAGTAAATCAGTACCACTACTATCACCAAGCTACTACCTTACATGAACATTTTTAAATTTTCAGAAATAAAAATGGAAAGCAACTTTAATTTTATTTCTATAAGAAACAATTATTTCTCAGAATTACTTCTAAAACTGTAGCAGTCAAACCTTCGGTCAGAACAAGATAAGTCGTCATAACTCTGAGAAAAACACATGACAGGATTTGATTTGGTAAGGTGGCCAAATTACGTTTCCTAGGTCCCAACGCTTAAGATAGTCATATGGCCATCTTGCTTACCCAAGAACTACATATCCAACATTCAATAAATATTTGTTAAGCTTCAACTTTAGTCCAGGCATGTGTCAGATACTGGGGACACCGTGGTGACCAAAACCATAGGGTCCTCACAGCATTGACAATATAGAAAGCAAGACAGTCACAACCACACAATCATATGGTATACCATTCCAACTACCATAAATGCCTTGAAGGAAACAAAAGTTACAGAAGCTAGTATAACAAAAGAACCAGTCTCATCTGGGGATTAGGGAAGGCTTCTCTGAAGGAGTGAGTCTGAGGTGAGAGCTGAAGAACACACATGAAGAGCAAGGCAGAAGACTTTTAGAAAGTGAGGGGATGTACAAAAGCCCTCAGGGGGAGACAAAATATCAAATCTGAAAAATTAAAAGGCCGCATTGAGGCAGCCATGGCTGAGGCAGAGAGGCAGGTATGCAAAGGTCTCCATTCCAAGAGCAATGGGAAATCAGGGCTAAGGACTCAACATACAACGTTAGCAAAATTTATATACCAAACACATCATCTACTTATAAACCGCTTCACTGAAGTAGCTATGGACAGAAACAGCATGAGACTTGAAGATCTAGGATGACCTCAGCTCTGACACTTGGTAACTTTGGGCCAGTCATACAACCAATCCTGAACTTCAGTTTTCTCTTGTGTAAAATGAGGATAATGACAACAGATGCCTTGCCAAGATGTTAATGAGTAGATAATAAGCTTTGTAAACCATAAAATGTTAATTTCACTGCTCAAAAAAGGGATATGTACCCAATTCAAAATGTATTTCATACTTATTTGAGTGAGAAAAAAGTCCAGACAGGGTCTATCCCAGCAAAAACATGTTGGAAAATGATTTCATAAAGTAGAACTATTATTGATCTTTAAGTCTTGGGTATACCAAGATTCCTCTCAAATGTCGTCAACAATTTTAGCTAGAAAAGGCTCAAAAAGAGAATGCCAAATGCTGAAGAGAAAGCTGCAGGAAGAAGCCCAATGTCATGTACATGTGGATGCAATACCAAAACATTTGACATCACCTTCATACCTCTGTAAGTGACTTATCACCAATTTTTGTATACTGGAATATGATGACTCTATGGACTGGCCAAGCTTTTTTAAGCCCTAATTAAGAGAAGAAAATATATTTAGTATATAATCAGGACACTACATGCCACTCTAAGAAAAAGAAAAAACAATTAAGAATGTGCTTATAGTTATTAAATATAGCGCATAGATATTTTAACTGCACCTTTACTGTCAACTGGTTCATCAAGAGAGTCTGAAGTTCAGCACTACAATGAAAAAGAAAGTATTTTTAGTCATTTCTCTGTTCAAAATCTGAATGCATCACTTACAACGTTTAAAAACTTTTAAATTTCAAAGCACAAATAAGATTTTGAAACCAAAGAGAGAAATAGCCTAATAAAAATTAAATTCTGTGCATGTGACAAGACATCACATGGATCCCATAAGTAGGTAACATATGTATTGATTGTAAAAATTAAGACTTTTGCAATTCCAAAGAAACAGACAGAAAACAATAAAGTCTAGAAATATACGAAGATGTATATGAGGATTATGAGGATGTACTGTAGGCTAAGATGGCATTACACATCCCTAAGGAGAAGGCATCATCCTCAATAATCATACTGAGCAACTACCTAAATATTTAAGAAAAAAGGACATCCACCTTCTACAGCATGTGATCAAGTACATTATGTAAATGGAATGAAGCACAAATCATACGAAAGCCCTAGAAAAGATATAGATCTTTGAATCCTCAAGATGAGAAAGATCTTTTTAAGAATAACAGCAGGCCGGATTCGGTGGCTCAGCCTGTAATCCCAGCACTTTGGGAGGCCAAGGCGAGTGGACTGCCTGAGCCCACGGGTTTGAGACCAGTCCAGGCAACTTGGCGAGATCCCATCTCCACAATAAATCAAAAAAATTAGCTGGGTGTGCTAGTGCATGCCTGTAGTTATGGCTACTTAGAAGGCTGAGGCAGAGAAGGGTTGCTTGAACCCAGCGGGTTGAGACGCTGGGGTGGCCACGAGCGTGCCACTGCACTCCATTCTGGGTGATGGAGTGAGACTCCAACTCAAAAAAAAAAAAAAAGAATAACAGCAAAAGCAGATACAATAAAGGAAAAAAGTGGTTTGACTACATAAAAATTTTTAAATTTTTATACATTCAAAAATATACACACATACATACACACACCAAATGATCGCACTTCCTTTTTTTTAAAAGTACATAGGAAGATACATGCTAATTTTCCTTTTGGTTCTGTGTACCAATTTTTTTTTTTCCACAATTAGAAATTATTTTTGAAATAATTAGTTATCACAAAAAAGGAAGAAAATATAGGCACACCTAATTTGAGTTTATTACCTTGCTTTCCCCCACAACAGCAAGTGCATGAATTCATCTTGCACTGATGTGGTTGTGCTCTTTTCCTAAACAAAAATGAAAAGAAGCTGTGACATGTATTTCTAAATTATAAGCATATTTGTCCAAAATTATAGGACTATAACTCCTTTTCTTTACCTCAACCATCTCTCAAATTCATATTTAAAGCGATCACATGAACATGAGTGACCGGAAGGCAGCCAGTCAGCAATTCCAACACCTGACCTTGTTCCTCACACGCCACTGGCTCTACCTCACAATTCTGTCCCTACCTAAGTTGTGCCAGTGGGACAAAAGCCCTTTTTGCAAAACTGAGAAAATAGTTTGAGGTGAGACCAAGCAATTTGAAGGAAATCATGATCTTAGTCTTCTACAAATTAGACTGACTTTTCTCATGTACCTTCTACATACATGATGCACCTTTAGCTCAAACTCCACAAGAAACTTCAGTTACCTGCACAAACTTAGTGAGACGAGAATCCATCTGCATCAGTATTTCCTCCCATGCCTCACACATGCATGTTAGTGACAAATTTATATACTAGTAGCAAAAAAAAAAAAGAATAAAGTTAAAATTGCAAGAAAGCTTTAAACCAACCTGCTTGGTGTAAACTTAATACCATGTGCTTCTAATGATCAATGTCTCAAAGAAATCTAGAATTTACTTTCAGTTACTCTTTTAACTCAGTTAAGCCTGAGAAAAAGAGAAGACCAAAGCTAACATTTGATAATCACTTAGCAATTAAACATTCCAAGAGTTTAGAATTTTACAATAAAACATTCTTAAATTTAAGTTTTTGTCTGAGAAACAAATATCCTCAAGTTTTTTATATATGTCATATGTACACTAAATATCGAAATGCTGGTTTGGTCAGCTATTCAATTTTCAAACAGGATACTAATCTCCGAATCTAGAAACCTTTGACATCAAGTAAATTAACAACTATGGTAGAATGAAAAAAAATGGCCACAATTCTTTGTAGCTCCTTCAGACAGAGTCCATTTCTCCAGCCTTGAGTCCTGCGCTTTAACTAACAGAATATAGCAGAAACAACACTAGGGCCTCAAATGTCTCAGTAGCTTCCACCTGCGCTCCTGATTGTCCTGCCTCAACCACCACGTGAACAAGCCTGGGCTGGCTTGCTGGAGGATGAGGGATGCAGAGCAGAGACAAAGCCACATCACAGTCAAGCAACACACTGGCTGGCACCAGCTTGACATCTAAACCTGCCCCAGATCACCAGAACCTCCTGGCTGAGCCCAGCCTAAATTGCCAAACTACAGAATTGGAAGCTAATTTGTGAAGGGTTCATTATGAACAAAATCCAATTCATATGAAACCTGTTTTTCACTACAATGCTTTATTTTCATAAAATGTAAATGGCATTTTACTTATGGAAATGCTATTAAAATTTTAAATTGTTTCTTTTTTTTTTAGAGGTGGTAAATAGAGTGAAATAGGAATAGATTCTCAATTAAATTTCCTTTTCTTGTTTTAATGGCCATTATGGGAAGATTATCAGACTAAACATCCCTACTGCAGATAGTTTTACAAAACAAAATTTTGAAGATTTTTATTTACAGAACTTTAGAAGCTGACAGTAATATTCACATAAAACAAGCTATAGATAAATACCTGTAAAAGAGCTGAAATGTGAGTAAATTTTCTGGCCATCCGAGTTACTTCAGGTAAGAAAGAATACAACAGATTGGTTTCAAGCTGTAAAATCAAAAGAATAAAGTGACTCACATTCAGATGTACTTGCTTCTTTTAAAGATAAATCAGTCATGACCAGCTCAAAGCAAAACCAAAAAAACCTATAACTGCGAGAGAAGAGGTTAGGTCTAACTATGTACCAGAAAGACTATGTAAGAATTCTCTCTTTGAGCAGTCTGGAAACGACAGCTCACAGACTTAGATTACCTAACCTGTGCGAAACTGCAAAGGTCACTCTCTTTGGGGTTCTCACTCCCTTTTATGAAGCTGGAATAAATGTAATAACCTGTTTGGTAACACTACTATGAGGAAATTTTAAAATGGCCACAAATTTATGTAAATTGTGAGGTAGAAAAATTAAAGGCTATTGATAAATATAAGGAGAATATCTATCAATGGTATGTGAGTTATATCTCAATAAAGTTGTCATTTAAAAATATCGATTACAAACTTCACAGTAGCAGCAGATCGTTTTACTATAGCCAAAACACAATCCTGGTGATCACCGGTTCACTGAACTTTATGATGAAGAGCAAATAAGAACTGAGGGGGAGAGGGAAAAAAACAACAACAATTACAGGGAATCGTAAGTCAAGAGTTTTCTGATGCTCTGAATACAATACAGAATGGTGGAAGGCACCACATGCACTGCATCTCGCCTTTTTTATTCTATTTTTGTTTTGAGAATTCACACATATTCAGGTTAAATGCCTAGGATATTTAAGGAAAGACTTCTGGGAGGATTTCTTGGCAAGGCAAGGCTATGATCTAAATAATCCATGGAGCCCAGACAGTTGCCTTCATCTACAATGCAAACAAGCACACAATTAAAGCAGGTTTCCCCAATATTAAGCGATCATTTTACACAAGATGTAATGTGTTAGTTAACAGCACAGACCCTGAAGTCAGACTGCCTAGCTTCAACTTTCCAATCCTGTGACATCAAGTAAGTTCTGAAGTGTCTCTATGTGTCCATATACTTATCTATAAAATGGGAATAATAACAGTATCTATCTATTAGGATGTTGGGAAGATTAAAATGAATTATTCTGAAGCACTCAATACATGGCACCTATATGCTCGTCTTTATTATTTTCAGAGACAGAGCCCTGAGAAAACACTTGGTACAAAGTTGAACTGGTTTAGTAACCAATTAACAGTCATTAGTAGACCATCAAAACTGTTTTTATGAGAACTATATTGCAGCATGGAGAAAATAATACAGTATTCACTATAATAACATTCAATATATGAGATTTAGAAATCCCAAGCCAATTTTTTTGTTTCATTTTGTTTTAATGACCATTAGAATACAGGGAGATGGCGATTTCTTTCTCCCATGCCAGCTCTGGCATGTTTCCCTTTCTTTTCTCCCTTCTTTCTCTAATAAACTTGAAAAAAAAAAAGAATATTGTGAGATATGGATAATAAAAACCTGTAAAAATCTATTAAATATGTATTTGCTCTTCACTGTTATCAAGTTCCAATACTCACCTGAAAGTATGAAACTTCTGAAGCACCACTGGTAGAAACCTCTGTGACCACCGACAATGATTTCAAATCACTTGATAAACATAATGCAAGACAAGTACCAGCAATCTGTAAAATTGGTCAACCCCCCCAGTATATTTAGTATTATTGCTAGGTTGTATCTGGCTACAATACAGAAGGCAAAAATTCACACAGAGCTTTAAAAAGTAGAAACACCTATTCCTGGCTCCAGTTACATGTCTAGCAGATGAAGGCAGGTGTCTGTCTGCATAAACCTCCCTAGTCACAAGGACAGAAAATCATTCTGGTTTCTTCCTCCTCTCCCATTAAGCACCAACATACTCTACAGAGTCAACAATATTTTCTACCCCTTCTGGGAGTCATCAAAGTCAGATGAAAAAGCTATGGAGAACACAGAGACTTAGCAACTCTAGTTGGTTCAGGACTGAGCTGAAGATTGCTTTTGATGACTTCCATTCCAACCACAAATCGTAGCTCTCTTCTATCACAGGCTAGAAAAATACTAAATCATAATCAAGTATATATCATTTATCTTTTTGTTAAAGAAAAAGAAAACTAATTTCACAAATAGCCCCTGATCTTTATAGACGTATCACTACTACTTTATCTTAGTTAAGATGAATATCCTCTGAGCATTTAATAAATAATTCTAATAACTAAAACTAAAAAAAATTGTTGTTTTATTCTTTGTACATAAATGAATTAGTCTAAGAGAAATAATAAAACATTTTTAAGAACTTACCCCTGTGACTCGAGCTATTTTGAACATTCCATAAGCATACAGCTCAATAAATCCAGCGCTTCCTCCAAGGATAAGAATATTAAGCCTAATTAAAGATAATGCAACAAGCTGAGGACCAATCAACAACAGAGATTATTGCATTCTTAAACCAAGATAGAAATTGTTACTGTTTTCATATTATCTACATGCTAAAGCTCCCTTTCAAAGAGAACTGAATCATCAAACAAATCCACAAATACTCAATATTCAATCGTTTCTGGCTTATTCCTTTCCCCCCAAAAACATACATTTTCTCCAGTCTAAAAAAAACAGCTTACAGTAAAATAGGAATGTATCATTATAATAACAACTGTACTTATATGCTTTAATATCAAAACAATCCTTTTACCAACTCAAAGGTGTCATCAGTTTGAGTATGGCTTTTATGCCAAATATATCAAATGGACATAAAGAATGTGAATATTTATGCTGATGCAAGAAGCAAAGGAAAAAAATAATGTGAATGTTTAAATTTTAGAAACTCTAGTACATATATTCTTTTACTTCTTATTAAAATAAAAATAGGTAGATTGTATTAAGACTTGACAAAATGACAGACCATAAAATAAAAACTAATAGATACTAAGGTCTATATATTGTTTGAAGGTATTAATGTAAACAACAAAATAACATGACAAATAAAGGACTTGCTCTTGAAACTTTTGAAAACTGCCCCAGTATAAAATAACAACTTTAAGACATTAAACTTATTTAAGATATCTGTAGTATTTACCTGACATCTCCCAAGAGCTTAATAATTTCATCAGAATTTTCTTCACTAAAATATAAAAATAAATTGGGTCATCTTTCAACTATATCTTTCAAATGATAATAGATTATCTTACTTGAAAACAAAAAAGGCAAATCTTACCTAAATATTTTGGAGGTGTTGCTATAACTAGAAGAAAACAGAGATTAAGGTAAAAAAAAGAAAAAACACTTAACAAAAATACATTTTAAAAAAACACATGAGAAAACTGTCACAGCATTAAGAGTAGAGGAAAGAGAAATCTGTAAGAATTCCAAACACATCAACCCATGATACTTACTTTTTTGGCAATGTAGGTAGTTTAGGTAAGAGAAGATTTGATTCATCTTCAGCATTATAAAAGGATGTTAGAACACTAGAAAAGAAAAAAAGAAAAGCATTATAAAACCACAAAATATTTTACTTCTTTTTCCATCAAAGAATGCTAATTTTTTTAAAAGATGCCCAGTTTTACAACCTTACCAAGTAAATAGTTGCCACAAATATTTTATCATTGTAAAATAGTCAATATAACAATCACAAATGAGAAACTGAAAGTAGGAAGTCATTTCAGGGAAAAAAAAGTTATTTTAGAAAAAAACTCAGCCTAGCCACTATACTTTTAGAGAAACAAATATTAACAAACTTTTCTCAACATATGAAATTCATGCATATATAATCAGATATATATCTTTTCTTAATCTTCATTTAAGAACCCACACTATTGTCTTTAAGAAAGAATTTTAAGACTGAGATGGACAAAAAAAGAACTCACACTAAGCATATGAGTATTAAGAGTAATTTTAAAGAACACTGCAATTACTGTATCATTTCATTATTGGTTCTATGACTTATATTCACTTGGGAATATGATAACCAAACAGGTATATAAGATTACACCATGCACCATTTTAACGGTCTTGAAAGACCCTGGAATTTCCACATACTTTCTAAACTGTTAGTAGAAAAGTATGTGGGGAATACACTTAACAGATAACTGGACTGGGATATAAATTACATAGTATGCTCTGATCCTCTAACTGTCTATAAAGTCACGTAACCACTTGCAATCCTTCCTTATCTGATAATGGATTAATCATGCTGGTTTATCTATAGTATATTTCAAACCCCAGGCTAAATCCTTGCCATCCAATTCTTTCAAGCCTCCCTTAGGAATATTGCTAATTAATATTTACGATTTACAAATTTATTTGATATTAACTTAGTGAAACTTACTTAGAGAGTAAAAAATAATGGAGGCCATTGCCTTACTAGACTCTGGTGTGGCCATGTGCTCTTTGAGCTATGGCTGTCGCCCTGCTTCCTGGCTTTGGCCCCTTCTCTGTCTTGGAGAGGTGAATCTTCTGTCTCTCTCTCTCTCTCTCTCACTAGGTGAATCTTCTCTCTCTCTCTCTCTCTCTCTCTCTCTCCAATTTGCTTTCTAAATAAACTATATTTTCCAATCTAAAAAAAAAAAGATAATGGAAAGAAAATTATCACATTTTCTCTCTTTTCCCCCAAAACATCTTTTTTTAAATCACTAGCCAAACCCAGTGATCCCTTAGGCCATATCTACAGCAAACCTAGAGTATTACTTGATTATATAGACTAAGGAAAAATTTTCATGAAACAAGGAAACTAACAGGACCATGGACAAAGAACGAACATGTTAGGCATCAGAACAGAATGTTCAGCTTAGCACTTTTCACACTCTAAGAATATTTACTGAGACACAAAAACAAAGGTCTGACTGGGCACAGTGGCTCATGCCTGTAATCCCAGCATTTTGGGAGCCCAATGCAGGAGGATCACCTGAGATCAAGAGTTTAAGACCAGCCTGGGCAAGACACTGCATCGACAAAAAACCAAAAACAAACAAATAGAAAAGATCTGGATGAAATAAATGGTGAAATGGAAATTAATATAATTTTGAGATTAATGAATTTTGAGATTCTGTGTTCTGTTTCACCATTTATTTCATCTGGAGCTTTTGTGTATGTGTCTCAGTAAATAACCTTAGAGTATAAAAAGACTAAAAATAGAAAAACCTTGGCTATTCAGGTATTACTGCTCCACTAAGAAAATGCAGGTATACTTCATTTTATTGTGCTTCCCTTTATTGTGCTTCCCAGATATTGTGGTTTTTGTTTTGTTTTGTTTTTGTTTTATGACAAACTGAAGGTCTGTGGCAACCTTGCATCAAGCAAGTCTCCTGACAACAACTTTTCCAACTGCCATGTGCTCCCTTTGTATCTCTGTGTCACATTCTGGTATTTTTTCCTCGCAATATTCCAGATTTTTTCATTATTAATATATCTGTTACGGTGACTTGTGATCAGCGATCTTTGATGTCACTATTGTAATTGTCTTGGGGTGTCACAAACCCTGCTTGAAAGACCACCGACTGAAGTGAGAAATGTGCTTGTTCTGACTGCTCCAACTGGCGGCTGTTTCCCATCTCCCTCTCTGTCCTTGAACTCCCCTATTCCCTAAGACAAAACGATATTGAAATTAGGCGAACTAATAATTCTTCAATGGACTCTAAGTGTTCAACTGAAAGGAAGAGCTGTATGTCTCTCATGTTAAGTCAAAACCTAGAAATGATTAAGCTTCGTGAGGAAGACATCTTAAAAGCCAAGACAGATTGAAAGCTGGGTCTCTTGGTCAGTTAGCTAAGGTGTGAATACAAAGGAAAAGCTCTTAAAGAAAGCTAAAAGTGCTATTCCAGTGATCACACAGATAATAAGAAAATGAAATGGCCTTATTACTGATATGGAGAAAATCTGAGTGATCCAAACAGAAGAGCAAACCATTTGTAACATTCCCTTAAGCCGAAGTCTGATAGAGCAAAGGCCTAACTCCTCTCTCTCTCTTCAAGAGGGATAAGGAAGCTGCAGAAGAAAAGTATGAAGCTAGCAGAGGTTGCTTCATGAAGTTTAATGAAAGATACTGTCTCGATAACATAAAGTGCAAGGAAAAACAACAAGTGCTGATGGAGAAGTTGCAGGAAGTTATCAAGAAGATCTAGGCTGGGTTCAGTGGCTCAGCCTGTAATCCCGCGGCCTTTGGGAGGCTGTGAGTAGATTGCCTGAGCCCGCGGGTTCGAGACCCACCTGGGCAGCGAGACCTCATCACTACAATAAATCAAAAAATCAGCCAGGCATGGTAGCTCATGCCTGTAATTCTGGCTACTCGGAAGGCTGAGGCGGAAGAATCGCCGGAGCCCAGCAGGTCAATGCTGCGGTGGTTGGGAGCAGCCACTGCACTCCAGTCTGGGCGACAGAGTGAGACTCCAACTCAAAAAATAAAAAAATAAAATAAAAATAAAAATAAAAAAAAGAAGATCTAGCTAAGATAATGGATAAAGGTGGCCACACTAAGTAATAGATTTACAATGTCAGCAAAACACCTTACCTTTGAAGATGCCATCCAGGACTTCCATAGCTAGAGAGAAGTTAATGTCTCCCTTCAAAACTTCAGAGGATAGACAGACTGTCTTATAAGGAGCTAATGCATTTGGTAACTTTAAGTTGAAGCCAATGTTCATTTATCGTTCTGAAACCCTATGACCCACAAGAACTGACTTTGCTGTGCTCTATAAATGGAACAAGAAAGCCTGAATGACTGTGGTTCACTGTCACCCAGGCTGGAGCAGTGGCATGATCATGGCTCACCACAGCCTTGACCTCCTCAGCTCAGGCAATCCTCCCACCTCAGCCTCCAGAGTAGCTGGGACTATAGTTGCATGCCACCACACCCAGATAATTTTTTTATTTTTATGTTTCATAGAGACAAGGTCTCCCTATGTTGCCCAGGCTGGTCTTGAACCCCTGGCCTCAAGCAATCCTCTTGTCTTGGCCTCCCAAAGTGCTCGGATCACAGGCAAAAGTCACCATACCAGCCTGGCTCACTGAAAATTTTAAACCCACTGCTGAGACCTACCGCTCAGTAAAAAAAGATACTGCTCATTAATAATACATTCAAGAATTCTGATGGGGATATATAAAACAATTAATGTGGTTTTCATGCCTGCTAACAAATCACCCATCCTGCAGCTCATCAGTAAAGCAGTAATTGAGAGTTTCAAGTCTTATTACTTAAGAAATATATTTCATAAGACTATAGCTGCCACAAATAGCGATTCTTCTTTGAATCTGAGCAAAGTGAATCAAAAACCTCCTGGAAAAGATTCATCATTCTAAAGGCCATTAAGAATATTTATTATTCATGGAAAGAAGTCAAAATATCAACATTAACAGGAGTATGACAAAAGTTTACTCTAATCCTCATGGATGACTCTGAGGGGCCTTGGACTTCAGTGGAGAAATTAACTGCAGATGTGGTGGAAACAGCAAGATAACTAGAATTAGAAGTAGAGCTTGAAGATGTGATGAATTGCTGCAATCTCATGATAAAACTTGAACAGTTAAGGAGCTGCTTCTTATGAATGAGCAAAGAAAGTGGTTTCTCAAGATGGAATATACTCCTGGTGAAGATGCTATGAACATTGTTGGAATGACAACAAAGGATTTAGAATATTACATAAGCTTAGCTAACAAAGCAGCGGCAGGGTTGGAGAGGACTGACTCCAATTTTGAAGGTTCTACCATGGGTAAAATGCTATCAAACAGCATCACATACTACAGAGAAATATTTCATGAAAGCAAGAGTAAATCGATGAAGCAAACCTCACTGCTGTCTTATTTTTTTAAATTGATACAAGAAAACCAACCTTCAATAACCACCACCCTCAGCAGTCAGCAGCCATCAACATCAAGGCAAGACCCTCCACCAGCAAAAAAGATTATGATTTGCTGGTGACACAGATGATTGTTAGCAGTTTTTTCAATAAAATACATTTTAACTAAGTTACGTATATTGTGGGATAGATTTTTTTTCAGAGGGAAAAAAACTCATAGAGCATTACAAAATTTCATCTTGATAAACAAAACTAAAATTTAAATGCAGCATACATATACTGAGCACTCATATACTCCTAAATTTACATTTAAAAAAAAAAAACATTTTGACAGTTGGGGGTAGGGGAGGGAAATAAAAATAAATAAATAAATAAACACTTCATGGACATCCAATCGTCCACACAACTGAAGTTTTTCATCACTCATTACCCTACCTGCTTTCTACAGTCACTTCCATCCAATGCATACAAGAAACTGGCGCTTCCACGGAAAAGGAGTGCAAGCTTTCAGGTTTTTCTACATCACACAAAACAATTTTCTTGGTGTCAGCAAGAGCAAAGGCCAAAACTAAAACAAAATTTTTAAAAAATCAGAAATTAATAAATTAGCATAACATTTGAGAAAAATAAATGGGTTATTTCACTTATTGCCCAGTTGTACTCTTAAATACATCTTAATCATAGAAATTATTTGACCCAAAAACCCTTCAATATTTTAAAGCTAAAAGAGAGAGAGCTCTGCATATACTTTAGTTCCTTTATGAATGAGGCTAATTTTCTTTTTTTTTTTTTTAGTTGAAATTGCACTCCGTCGCCTAGGCTGGGGTGCAGTGGCACACTCACAGCCACACCTATGTCAACCTGCTGGGCTCCAGCAATCCTTCTGCCTCAGCCTTCCAAGCAGCTGAAACTACAGGCGCGCACTATCACACTTGGCTGATTTTTTAAATTTATTGTAGAGATGTCTCACCAAGTTGCCCGAGGTTGGTCTCGAACCCGTAGGCTCAGGCAATCCACTCGCCTCGGCTTCCCAAAGTGCTGGGATTACAGGCTTAGCCACCGAGCCTGGCCTAAGCTAATTTTCAATTGCTCACATTTCCTGAGTTATATACTTTGTCATGCATTATAGTTAACATCTTACACATCAAAGTCTCTAGACTAGAACCCGTTGTCAAGCAGAAAACACAGGTCTCAAAATAAACAATTATGTCTTATTACCATGACATAATGGTTTCCTAAACATGTCTAAAAGGTAAGAAGTGATTCCATCTGCCTTGCTCTTGGAAAGTTTATAGTCCCCTTTTGTGTTTTTAACCCATAATAGGAAGCAAGGCCATCAAATTATGATGAATCTTCTTCTTTTGAGTGTGGCTGAATTACATAGTACAGTTTCTCTACATAAGTAACTATGTCTTTCTAACATATCTAATCTAACTTCCAAATAAAGGGCAATGAGTTTCACTGCATATCAGTCACTACATGCACCTTTGCTAGACGTAAGGCAATCTCGGCCTTCCTTCTTATAACAATGTAAAACAATCTTAAAATGATCATTATCTAACATAAAATCATATTTTACTGTCCAAAAAAAACCTGAGATATATATTTCTTAATGAAAAACACATCTACTTAAATACATTTTAATGCACACTTTTATGATTTATCTTTGAGATTCTGTTTTTTGGATAAGTTAGTGTAGATCTCAAAATGCTACTTACAGAAGTCCTTTAATTTTACACATACTCAACACATATTCTAAGAAAAAAGAATACAGAATGAGTATAGCATTGTAAAAAGTATTCTTGGAAATTCCACCTTTGGGAACGAATCTAAGGAGCTAATCACACAAAGTTCTTCCCGGTGTTTGGAGCGTTTATACAGCATTGCTCACAAAAGCCAAAAACTGAAAACAATCTAAATGTCCACCAACAGGGAACCGATTTAGTAAATTATAATCTATTATAATTTATTATAATATATATTATATATATTAGTATGCAGCTATTTAACATTAATGTCGTAAAATCTACCCACACTGAATAAAGTGTGCAAAAAAATAAAAAGCAAAAGCTACTCAACAAAATATCATACATCAAATGATCTTTTAATAAAACTGCATATATAGATCTCTCTATATATGTATTTTATCAGGAAAATTTGGGAAAAACGTTCACCAAAATAGAAACAGTTGCTATCTCAAAGTGATATGCTTGCAGTGGACTTTTAAGTAATTATTTATATTTACCTAGAGAAAAACATTAAGCAACGAGGAGCACATTTTTTACAAAAGCAATTTGCTTTTTTCTGAAAGCATCAATAAAAATTTTAGTACTTATTTATCTAGAGAAAAAAGCAACGAGGAATACATTATTTTATAAAAACAATTTGTTATTTTCTTAAAGCACCAATGATATAGATGAATTCAAATTATAGAATTTAGAGCATTTTACTGTACTGACTGTATGTATACAACAGCTCAAATAAGGACTGCCATTGTAAAAATATCACATGGAAGAGGAAGGTTCAGTCATCAGAGCTATTACAAGCTGCAGCATGGAGGGTACTAGCAGAAGAAAGATCATATAGAAATGGAAGGAATGGGGTCTGAGCTGATCGTCCCCCAGGCGAGGCCAACACATGTGGATAGAGAGCCTCACATCAACACTGAAATACATTTTTGAAAGAAAACACCATCATGGCACTGAACTGACTGGCAAGTGGCAGGCAGCGCTTGGGTCAAATGGTACAGGGTAAGAAGACAGCAGAAAGAACAAAACCACAATACTGTATAAAACCCATCAGATTTCACTTCAGAGTTGTCTTTGCCAAGAAGTCAGAGTTCATGTAAAAGATATCTTTGCTAAGAAACAGGATAGTAAAATTAATCTGAGTTCTATAAAAAATTTTAAAGCATTAAAAAAAAAAAGTCTCCAAACTGGCATTTACAATTCTAAAATATAGTAAGAACAATAAGTTCTTTCTGAAGATGGGCTTTCTTTACAGAATATACTTTGTGAAAATAATACTATTATCATTACGTTTGCCATCCGGTCTCCAAGCCAGACAGGTCACTTCCTTTCCTGTGTTTTCATTTGGTGGAAAACTCCAAACTCGATGAAAACTTGCAAGCCGATGAAGTAAAACCTAAGACAAAACAAACATAATGGCAGAAAACAAAAAATTCATTTCCAAAAATAAAATAAATCTAGATCCCCACTATAAAATTTTTAAAAATTACCATCTCTTGAGTATAATATCTAGCTACCAGAGAACAGAGGACAGCAAGTGTTTGAATGAACATAAGGTATTTTGAAATAAAGTGACTGAAACAAAGTCTAACTTAACTCTATACCTTACATATCTTCCTATTTTTTATGTCAACAGAAGACTTACCTCTTAGAAAGGAAGAAAAAGCCTCTCCAAGAAGACACCTAAAAAAGAACGGCACTCAAAAGGTAGCTGTCGCACAGGAAACAAACACTAAACTTGGAACCAGACAACCTGGCATTGAATTTCTGTTGTGTCACTTACTAACCACGGATCTTAGACAAGTCACTTAGCCACTCTAAATGTCAATTTCCACACCTGTAAATTCCCACCCTAGAGGTTCAAGATGATGTCCTTGTGCTGCAAAATAAGACTGCCCTTATTCCAGCCTCTATACAACTACTGAAAATAAGGAAGAAAAGGCCTTACAACTGCATGTGCTCCTGAAAAGATTCGTCGCACTCCCTGCTCCCCACACTCAGCCTTGCCACCGTTCCCTGACTATCTCACAGCCCAGAGTTCCCTACATTCCTGGTTACCTGGGTCACAAGGAACCCAGGACTCCCAAGGAGGTGCTCACGCTCTCGACTTGACCCTTCCTTTCCTAAAACCATCTCTGCCATTCCTTACTTCTAAAACTCTCTGTAGCCTCCGAGACTCATAGTCAGGTGTTATCATCTTTAATAACTCAATTCTTCTCTCCGAAAAGTGCCTTTCATCTGGGGACACTGATTTCCTGCAGCATTCTCGGGTGGTGGCTGTTTTGCATGCCATGGTCCCAGTACTACTGTGTCAGATGAAGTAGGTGTTCTCCTTGTTCAACTCCATTTCTTCTCTCACTTTTTTTTTTTTTTTTTGAGTCAGAGTCTCATTCTGTCACCCAGGTTGGAGTGCAGTGGCTTACCGCAGCCTCAGTCTCCTGGGCTCAGGTGATCCTCCTGCCTCAGTCTCCCAAGTAGCTGGAACTACAAGCACGCATCACTACACCGCACTAATTTTTTGTATTTTGTGTAGAGATGAGATCTCACTATATTGCCAAGGCTGGTGTTGAACTCCTGGGCTCAAGCAAGCCTCCTGCCTTGTCCTCCCAAAGTGCTGGGATTACAGATGTGAGCCACCATGCCCGGCCTCATTTCTTCTCTTCTCTAAAATCTCCTAACTTTGAATCACAGGCAATCAGACTGTAACACTCGCTATCCCTCTTATTTATTTTATTTTATTTTTTTGAGTCAGAGTCTCACTCGGTCGCCCAGGCTGGAGTGGAGTGTCACACACGCTCACGGCCACCACAGCCTCGATCTGCTGGGTTCAGGTGATCCTTCTGCCTGGCTAACCTGCTATCCCTTTTAACTGCAGTCTTCCAGACCCCTAGGCCATTCTCCTTATTCCTTGACAATTTGGATTCCTGGCACACTCATGCTTTCCAACAACACTGCTCATTGCTTTTTGGGTGACTTCAAGAGCTACAATGTCCTGGCCTTTCAGTTCTCAACTACCTCTCTTCCAATGACCACATCTCCCACCTCACCTCAACTTTCCCGGAATCACACCCTCAGCCTGTCACTACCAACAACTACAGTGCTGCCATAATCTCAATTTTAAACTTCCTGCTTTCCATCCACCACCTTATCTTTATCTTTCCAGCTCACCTCTACAAGACCCAACTTGAATTTCTCAACCTCACCAGGGCACACATCCATGGATACTACCACCTATTTACTGTCCCTCACCTTACACATGTCCTCAGTTTTCTACTTAATCAGGCTGGAATCCAAGGGTCATTACTGCAATCGCTCCCCTTGCACATGACTTCAGCATTCTTGCATTCCTCTTGCCTTGTCCTGCTTGCAGAACAACCCTAGTTAAACCTGACCACCCCGGCAGCCACACTGCCAAACAGAATGCACAGGCATGGACAACTACACTCACTGTTTTCTCTCAGAATAGAAGACCAACAGTCCCATTAGGTTTCCCAGTCCACCTGCCCTGTCAGCTTTTTCATACTTCTTTCAGTTCAAGCTTCCAGTATTTTCCTCTCTGTTTTCATTCTTGAACAACGCCCTTGCTTCTTCACTGAGAAAATGGAAGCAACAGTGCCACCACCACACCTATCCATCTGACTGCACTGCTGTCCTGATTTTCCAAGATCCTTCCTACTGCTGTGTACCATCTACTGTTCCATCAACTGCTCTCTAGAACCATGGCAGAGTTTTAAAGCACCCTGGCAGAGGCGGGAAACTGGAAGATCTCTTGGCAGGCCCTGAGAAACCAGACATCAACACCTGATGATCAGACATCACCAGGTGATCAGACATCAACATGGTGATGCCGTTTTGCAGGCTGTTAGGCTTCCCTGGTTGCTGAGACTTCCTTACCACTAGTTTCCACATTTGGTTGTACACAAGACTTCTCATCTAGCCAGACAACTATCAGGAAAAAAGCTTTGGCAATAAGGCCAAAGGAGGAAAGTGGCACAGATGAAGGTTTCCTTACAAAATGGCTGGCAGGTGATGGGAACTCCCAGAAGAAAGTTGGGTACAACTGGTTTATAGTCATTGTAGCAGAAGAGAATGTGAACCAGAAGCGTTAGTAGACAACACTCAAGCACGCTCAGTCCTACCCAAGGATGACCCTTCCCTCACTCAATCTGTAATGGGAGGTAGCTGTCTGTCCAACCCACAGCACAAACCTGGACAACAGCAGCTGGATTCTCCAATAAATCCTCTGGCAGCTACATGCAGGCACACTTGCAGCTAAAGTTGACAACTGACTCATCTGTCTTCTGCTAGTAAACTGTAAACAAAGCTGGGTCTTCGGGCCTGCCATGTCTAGTTCACGAGTGGCACATTGTGGACTTTATAAAAAAGTCCGTTTAACTAATAAATCGCCAGGCGTGGTGGCACTAGCCTGTACTCCCAGCACTTTGGGAGGCGGAGGCAAGGGGATTGCCTGAGTTCAGGAGTTCGAGACCTGCCTGAGCAACGTGGCGAGACCTTGTCTCTACAATAACTCAAAAAATAAGCCGGGCGTGGTGGTGTACGCCTGTAGTCCCAGCTACTTGGAAGGCTGAGATGGAAGGATCGCCTGAGTCCAGGAGGTCGAGGGGGCCGTGAGCGTGCCACTTGCACTCCAGCGTGGGTGACAGAGTGAGATTCCGACTCATAAAACCCCAAAAAACTATTAAGTCAATGAATGAAAGAGACTTGAAGATGCAGGATTATGTGACACTGTTAAGCTGTGTGAAAACTGTCGCTTTAGCCATAAAGCGTATAAATCATCTTTCGCATAAACACTTCCAATAAAAGTTTACAGCCGCCCTGGGGGCAGGGACCGGGGGACAGGTGGTCTGCCAGGCTTGCAGAAGGGGAAACTGAGGCTCTGGCAGTGTGCGGCCGTGTTCTCGGGCCCCGGATCACTTACCTCGCCCGCGGTGTTGGCCAAGGCAATGAGATCCCGCTTGGGCGACCAGACCAGGAAAATAATCTCCTGCGGCAGCTGCTTCTCTCCCACCACCCGGAAGGATGGGAAGCAGGTCGGAAACCGCAACATGGGGGCGGCTCGGCCACGACGTCCCAGCCAGCAGCCGGCAACAGTCCCGGCCACCCAGCCCCGCGCCGGGAGCACCCGACGGCGTCAGCACCTGCCAAGAGACCCTCGGGCAGCCACCGCGCCGCGTCAGCCGCTCCCCG